TCAGTACATCTCAATGGATTAATAAAGAGAGTGTACAGGATATTCAGTTCTCTTGGACAACATGAAAGGCAATTGAGACGTTCTAGGTGTCCTGTATTTCCACCTTCTCCTGCAGTTCATTTTGATGTCATTAGTTAAATGTTAACTTACCTTGAATTTTCACCTCCTCCAGCAACTACCCCATTTTTCTTTCCAGCGAAACACCTCAATGCAATTGTCTATTCTTGCAGTCTCTACCAATTTTTCACATTACTATATCCAACAGGCAGCTCTCAGTCCTCATTTTCTTTAAAAATTCAATTTATTTAAATAGCAAGAAGAAAACAGTTCACCTCTTTCTCCCAACCCCCACCCCCTGCCCCTGGAAATGACAAACCTGTTCTCTGCATCTATAAGATATATACATAGATACATATATATGTATATATCTATGTAGATAGATAGATATTTTTTAGATTCTGCATATAAGAGAGATGGCATGGTATTTGCCTTTCTCTGTCTGACTTATATCACTTAGCATAATGCCCTTGGAATCCATTCATGTTGTCACATGTGACAAGATTTCCTTCTTTTTTATGGCTGAATAATACTCCATTGTGTATATATACCACAGATTCTTTGTCCATTCACCCATCAATGAACACTTAGGTTGTTTCCATATTTTGACTATTGTAAATAATGCTACAGTGAACATGGAGGTACATATATCTTTTCAAATTAGCATTTACATTTTTATACAGATAAATACCAGAAAGTGGAATTGCTGTAACAGATGGTAGTTCTATTTTTTTTTTAATTTTTTTATTGAGTTATAGTCATTTTACAATGTTGTGTCAATTTCCAGTGGGTAGTTCTATTTTTAATTTTTTTGAGGAGATGTCATATTTTTTTCCATAGTGGCTGCACCAATTTGCATTCCCACCAGCAGGGCATAAGAGTTCCCTTATTTCCACAGCCTTACCAACACATTTCTAGTCTTTTTGATAATAGCCATTTTAACGGGTGTGAGGTGATATTTCCTTGTGGTTTTGATTTGCATTTCCCTGATGGCTAAGGATGTAGAACATCTTTTCACAAACTTATTGGCCATCTGTATGTCTTCTTTGGAAATATGTTGATTCATATCTTCTGCTCATTTTTAAATCAGACTGTTTGGTTTTTTGCTATTGAGTTGTATGAGTTTTTTATGTTTTGAATATTAGCCACTTATCAGATATATGATTTGCGAATATTTTCTGCCATTCAGCAGGTTGCCTTTTCATTTTTATGGATGGTTTCTTTTGCTGTGCAGACACTTTTTAGTTTGGTGTAGTCCCACTTGTTTATTTTCGCTTTTGCTGCTTTTGCTTCTGGTGTCAGTTTACAAAAACCATCACCAAGACCTACGTCAAGTAGCTTACTGCCTACGTTTTCTTCTAGGAGTTTT